CGTGCGTCACTTCTGAGCGGCGCATGCGCAGCGCTGACCTCATACGTCATCCGCCCGAAACTGCTTCTGTTTCCAACAGTGAGCGCAAGCTAGATTCAAGTGATTATTACGTTTTAAATATGGATATTTTTCTTACAAAAACGCATCGATTCGCTACAGAAGGCCTTTGTTCACCCCCCGGAGCCATGTGAGACACTTTTTTTTTTTATAGATGGGCGATTTTTATTTAACTTCTTTTGGACTGAAGCACTGCAACACCCGCTGAGTGCCATGAAACAGCTTGAAAGATCAAAGACAATTTTTAATATAACTCCGACTGGATTCGTCTGAAAGAAGAAAGTCATATACACCTAGGATGACTTGAGGGCGAGTAATTTATGGGCTAATTTTCATTTTTGGGTGAACTAACCCTTTAAACACATAAATAAATCCTTAAATGAATGAATGCTTAAAAGCATAAATGAATAAACAAATTCATAAATCCTAAAATACATAAATAAACAAATAAATACCATATAAACCATATAATCCTCAAATGCTTAAATAAATGCATAAATAAATGCTTAAACATATAAATCCTTAAATGTTTAAATGCATAAATCCTAAAATGCATTAACACAAATGAATAAATAAATCCTTAAATGCTTAAATAAATGCATAAATACATAAATAAATGCTTAATGCATAAATAAATGCTTTAAAAAATGAATGCATAACTCTAACTCAGAACAGGCTGTAGGTCTACAATAAAACTTTTTTGATGGTGATGTATAAAACATATTTTATATTTTTATATAATTCATTCATTTTAAACACTGACATCAATATAATATAATAAGCCTGAGTAATTCATACTGATTTTTTTTTTTTTTTTAGATTCTCGCTAGAAGCGATCGTAAACCTGACTTCTTTTATGGCATTTTTGTTGTCTATTTTGCAGCTTTTGGAGCTTGACACACATGGTCACTGGCATTTGTATGGAAAAGATAAATAGTTTGGGTGAACTATTGCTTTAATAAAAAATTATTTGCTTATGACACCATTAAAAAATAGGTTCCTAAAAAAAGCAAAAATAAAATCTTGCTTTAGCCTCAGGGCCTGAGAAAATGTCACCAGTGTGAGTAATAATCTGAACTACCGCCCAGACCAGCAAAAAAAAAAATACCCTCATTGTCGAGCCTGGGACGCACAAAAAGACAGAAAGAGCGAGCAGAGCGAACAGCTCTATATGACACATCACAAGGGAGTTCGAGACTCATCTGTATTACAAAAGACTCTGAAGACACCTGATAACTCAATCAGAGGCATGATGGGAGAAAAATCTCACAGCGATGAGTGGGAGGAAGAGAGAGAGGGTGCGAAATCTCATGAGGAAGGGAAAGAGATTACACAAGAACTGGAACAGCAGAGGAAGACATGGAGGAAATGTGCCGTTTAAATCCGTTCAGTCAGACCATTTATCTCTCTCTGTAGCTGAGCAGCATCTTTCCAGAAGCAAACCTGCCAATGCAAGCCAGACGCAGTGTTTCCAACAGCAAAACAGCTTTAAAGGAGCATTCAGCCATTTCCTCCTTCTTAAAAAGACATTTGCTTTATTGTATACATTTTTATATATATACTACCAAAAGTTTGGAACAATTAAGATTTTAATGTTTTTGAAAAAGTCTCTTAGGCTTTCTAAGGCTATGTTTATTTGATCAAAAACAGTAATATTATGAAATATTATTACAATTTCAAATAACGGTTTTCTATGTGAATACATATTAAACTGTAATTTATTCATGTGATGCGCAGCTGAATTTTCAGCATCATTACTCCAGTCTTCAGTGTCACATGATCTTCAGAAATCATTCTAATATGCTGATTTGCTGCTCAAGAAACATTTCTGATTATTATCAGTGTTGAAAACAGTTGTGCTGCACAATATTTTTGTGGAAACCATGATACATTTATTTTCAGCATTCCTTGATGAATAGAAAGTTTAACAGCATTTATTTGAAATACAAATCTTTTGTAACATTATAAATGTCTTTACTGTCACTTTTGACTGTCCTTACTGAATACTTTTTTTTTTCATTTAGAGGACATTTTCATTCTCTGAAAACAAACATACAGATGTGCTCATAAATATCTGGTTTACTTGCTACAAAGTGCCTCAAAAAAAAAAAATCAGATTTTTTTTTTAAATCCATGCTTGTAGCCTATATAAATAAATAAATACTGTTATTATATTACTAATAATAATAAAAAATAAGTTAATCAATTATTTATAATTACAGAAATTTATTATATGCTATACAGTATGTCATTGCATTTATATTTATGCATTTGGCAGACACTTATCCAAAATGCATTCAAGGTATTTATTTTATCAGCTAATTTATTTTCTTAAAAAACACTAACCCAAGACCTTGGCATTGATAGCACCATGCTCAACCATTTGAGCTGCAGGAATGCTTTTTTTTT